GAAGAAATGTTTTACCGGAAAGAACTTCCTAAAACTTTAACAAATTTTAGTACTTCTTCAAATATACATTACTACAGTATTTTGTCGGTTTCAAATCTTTGAATCTTAAAAACTTTCATTTTTTTGCTACCATATTATGATACTAAACCATTTTGGACACTAGAACTTGAATAAATATATTTTGTTCTTTTCTTTTTGACGATTCCTTCACTTAATCATACGAATATACATGACAAGGCATAGAAGAAACTCCAAATAGATATGTACTTTAGTTACTGACAACGTCATATTATAAATTGAATATTGGTTGAATGGAAAAAAATCTGCGCTGTAGAGAATCATGTTATATTCCAAATCGTTGCTTGTCCGGATGAGGCCGTAAAGTCAAATTTCCACCAGCCCAGACTTCGCGTCGACTATTTCGCGGGAAAACGTAAACAACAGGCGCCAAGCGATTTTTGGATTAGCACTTGATAATTGTGCGAGCTGGATTTTTTTCTGTTCCGAGTATTTTAAGGGAAGAGGGCGCAGAACGGCATCACGCATAATCAGGCTTCTTATGTACTCCGAGACGATTAGAATAACTAGGATATATTATAATGGAAATCCACTCCGTCGCTCTCTTCTTCAATTGTATATTTAAGCAACTTAGTCAGGTAAATCTCTCCAAATCCAAATTCTCTTTTAAATAGAAATTAAAAACATGCGGAACAGATTAAGAAGTTGTTGCACAAACGCTGTCGACTGATGTTCCCGCGTTTTCATGCGATTACAAGTCGTATTAACTTATAACGCCGAACAGACATTTGATTTACGAAGACCCGCTGGCGCCGACAGGAATGAAACAACTGAATTTTTAAAATGTCCAAATTGTGATTATTCTCAAAAACTGGTTCTCTAAATATTAAATGTATAGATTTACAAGAAAAATGGGCATACACGTTCATGGATGAAGTTATTGATCAAAATGAGTCATTTATTTAACATTTTGTATGTTTTTGTCGGCGGGTAAAAATACTTTCATATAAGTTATACCTGTATTTTACTGCACAGTTTGATACACTTGGAATTTAAATTGAAGTTTTTCAAAATTTATTATTATACAAACCCCCAAAACTAAGCGCATGGCCACTGAATTTGATGTTACCCCGTATAAAGGGGTCTAAGCGATCAAAAAAGTGGGGTAAACGTGATACCCAATGTGTTGTTTGACTTCACTTGTAACAAAGTAATAATTACAATACCAGTCAGACGGGAGGCGTCAAACAGTCAATAAACAAACACTACATGTATGTAACACCCCATTTCTATGACCCCTCAGTAAATACTCAAAAGGTAAAATACGGCCTCACTTTGTGTTGGTGATGGCGGCCGCCCGTCGCCTGTCGGTGTTGACTAGACCAATTGATAATCGTTTAATTGTCGCCGTTAGCTTGGTTAAATAATGACAACTGATTAACAAAATTACAACAATAATTTATGTTAAAATATGTCATTTGCGTGAAATTTTTACTGCTAAAAATAATCAGGATCATTTGTTTTTACAAGAAAGACAATGTTACATGGGGCCCCTGGTCTAAGGAAATTTAGTTGCTTCCCTGTAAAAGAAATGCAGAATAACTTTACTTTAATATAGAAGCACTTTCTTATAGTGGACTGAACCAATATAATGACCTAAATTTATTTTTATGCTTTTTGATCTAAATTTCATCTAAAAAACATTACATATGGTACAATAATGGAAGAAATATATCACTTCGATAAAATTAGTTGTCGGATTCCATTAATAAACGTCATAGTTTAACAGTTTATAGCAACCATATTACTTTGTATTGAATTCGAATCTAAAAAACGCAGGTAACACAATTTATATGATAAATGCGATAACACACAATTCTGAACAATCATACTAACAAGTTATTTAAAGCTCCCATGTTTATTTTAAACATTTTAACATGAACTTATATATTTTTTATCGAAAAAAATTCACAATGCCGGATATGTGGCGTCACGCAAGTCGAAAACTATCTGAGCAGGCGTCAAGAAACTGGAAATTGAATCCAATAGGAGACAAAGAGAATTTACATAAGACAACGCAAACATACATTCTTAGTGAAGTGGTAAGACAACAGTGCGGAATGGATAAGTATGTGTGGCTTTTGTCGCGTAAGACAACGAAACAAATTAAATCATCGAGGCGACAAAATGATGTGAGAAAATTTTATCAACCATGCTTTGTTACAATATGACGTAACCTGAGTTTTTCCTGAAAACCACATTTGATTTTTGCGCAATTTTAAATTATACTTATTTCAACCTCAAACGAAACAAATGTTGAAAACAATATAAAATACTGACATTTCTACGCTACCTTAATTCAAAGCCATGAAATGTAATGTTTTTCTTTAAATTTTGATGAATGTAGTTCACTCCAATAAAAAAAAATGAAGCGATATTTGTACTTCGAATAAACTTTACCTAACCCAAAAGTATATTTTGCCCTTTCTAATTATCGGGCACGAACTTTGGGAAATTATTCTTTTCCTTCATTAGTGGCTCTAACGATCACTTGCATATTTTTGACACTCATTTGAATACATTGATATGATTTGTTAATGACGTGGGTGCACTTTCTAGACTGATAGGCACCTTTTTGTTTTTCATTATTCCTGTATACAATTTGTTAGCAAGGCGCCTACCGGTCTGATGATCGCGTTAAACTTTTAGTCTCGAAGCATTTTCACAGAAGATTCCAAATTTGTCATACGATCTTTTATTCGGAGATGTAAGGACCTGGTTTTTAGCCTTGGTTTATGTTCAGTTTATGTATGGCCGATATTCAGTCAGTTGACGAGTTGAACACGGTTTTTGTTTACAAGTCATTTACAACAAAGACAGAGGAAATTACTATAAGCATTTGGAAGTAATAAATTTGTACTACACAAGTCTAATTGTACACATAACCATTGGAGATTGATTGAGTTATGTCGAAAAATTTGGCAGTGCACTCACCACACCATGTGGCATAAAACATCTTAATTGTAAATCAAATGTTTTTAGTCAACAATGAGAAATTTTATAAAAAAATTCGCCAAATTCAATAAATAGTCTTTAGTTGAGATAATTATATTTCCCCTCTGTTCAAGTAACGTTGATGCATTATATGAAAACTACTCCAGTAAGCCAATTCGACGACAGTTATGGCTATATATATTCTTGCATGTACATGCTTACACGGCACAGTTCATCAGCCACATTTTTTTAGGTTGTCTTTCACCAAATTTAAAATTTTGCGAACCTCGACTTCGATGATATTTTGCCGCCTCGGTGTGTGATTATATCCGGTGGTGTCACTTTTCCCACTTCGATCCTCAGAGCGAAATTTTAAAAATGGCGGCGAACGATTACGGCATAATAGAAATTCTAGCCAGGGCAGAAGTCGATTCTTGTTACTGACGTTTCGTAAATAAGATCCAAAGGGTTGGCAAAGACGGAAATATAACTAAATACGAGCAAATTTCACAAGAAGTTTGGCAGTCAAAACAAAATGAAAACTCAAACAAACAAATAAATTGCATTGTTTTAATTTCAACATATTTGTGGGTCTTGGAAGCTTCGCGAAAATCAACATGGACAGATGTTATATGCAGAATACAAAACTTTCACTACCTATATTATTTAAATGGCAGAAATCACGTATTTCGCACCTGTATCATATGAAATAAAGCGTGGGTTCGAAAACTCCAATCGAGAGGATACAATAAACACGGTAATTTAACCCTTTTTGTACCATTTTGAGGCCAGTTTCATTTCTCAACTTTTTAAGTGTGGACCATATATAGAAATTGATTTTCGACCTCGTGGCATCTATGATCCGCAATTAGAAAATAAGTTTTAGAAACTAAGCTTGAAGAACGATGGGTACGTGCCAATACAGTTTAGATATTAGATCTTTATTATTAATAGGTTAGAGTACACATAGCGGTGAGCAATCTCGCATACACCTATGTTTGCGCACCTTTTCATTTTCGAACTATCGCAGTTAAAACGGAAACGCCAGTTGAGTACTTCATTCGGACCAATACAATTAAATCGAACAGGTGTAGGCCACTTTATCGCGATATTCTTGCAGAATATTAAAGATCGTCATGACTACCATACTTTTCCTCTATAACCAGTCAGAATATTTTGTTTTTTCTTACACAAAGTCGACCATGATATATTAGGTTATCATCTGTGGGTCATAACCAACAAAAATAATATCAAACAGAGAAAGTATTTAATATACGACTGTTGACTCATATTTTGGTGGTGGATTTATTTAATGAGACACAAATATAGAAAATAATGAAATTATTCCGATTTCATTTTCATGAAAACTACTACGTAGTTTTCTATTGTTGAATATTCATAATATCAATATATGATTTAAATACAGTGATTTATATCTAACTTTAAAAAGTTATGTTTATCTAAAATGAACCTTGTAAACCTATCTTCGAATGAGATCATTACTAGTACGTGAAGGGAATTGAACAAGTTATTTTGACTTTGGAGTATTGAACAGTGACAGTAAAATCTTAATTCCATTTCCCACTACGATGCTCAAACGACCATTTACACATCTATTTGTGTTAGACTGGAACTAAAGATGCTATAAATAACTTGTTGGGGCGCAATATTTGATGTATTTAAGACATTGTACACAAAAGGACTATTTTCAACTTGCTCATTAAAAGAGCAACAAGCCACATTCAAAAAAAAAAAATTTTCAAAATATTTTCATTTTCACGTTTTGAAAGAACTTTTAAAAATTTTATTCTGATGGAATAAAATATAAATTATAACATAAAGTCTTCATATTATTTATTTCGGATTGTTCAAGAAATCATTGTATTTTTTCCCTCGAAAATCACTCTTATGACCAAAGACAAGTTAAAACTTGAGTTTCCCATGTCAATCTTTCATGAGCCCTAATCGAAAATAAATTAGCTACTGACCTTCCGGTTTTTGTGATAACCATTTCCGTTCCAAGTGTATTGAACTCTTCCCAAAGTTCTTTGTTATCAAGGTCCACCTGTGGGTCGTCGGGTTCGTTGTTATCGGGTTCAACAGTCTTATTTGACGGGCAATCCGACATCGGATGACCGTAAGGAAGGCGATCATAGATCGACCCCAGCGAGGGAGCGCCTTTGGGGAAAAACATGGACGGATGACAGGGTGCCATACCCAATGCTGTGGGGAGATAGGCAGGTGATAGGAAGGACAGGTCACTACCATGACGGCCGGACATCAATGCAGCCGGACTGTAAGCGGACATAACCGCTTGCAAGGGTGATATTGGCCCTGGTTTCATCGAGTCGTGGATCATTGTTGCTCGATGATAAATTGTTTAGAATCCGGGAATCGTGGAGTAGTTTTTCCTTAAAGTCAAAATCAAAGGTATGATGTCATTTAACTGGGTTTCCACCGGTTTCAGCACGTTAAGTAATGGTATCTTGTATTATGTCTGTTGCAGATTGAGTTATCAACTGTAAACAATAACATTTGAAATTAGTAACTCTGAATAATTATTATTTGAGAATAAAAAAACTCTTACTTACTACACCTGACAGAATGCTTTTGTCTGAACTAATTGCTGTATCACATGCAATAGCAACGAACTGTTTATTCAACTACCCGACAAACAGATGACATAAGATCAGTCGCAGTATCGAGTTGTCGCGAAAGTTTATGTCCGATTGTGATATCTCAGTGATGTTTAGGCTTCGACGCGCATTTATTTGAAACAAAATGAAGTCTGAACTATCTCCAACAACCCCTCTTTGAACTAACAGACCTTGACTTCCAAAATAGGAAACGCAGCAAGTTACCCAAGCACCAGCACGGGTGTGGTTAACTCTAAATCCGTTCCCTGAATTTAGAGTTAATACACGAAAAAGTCAATCAAAAGCTAGAAATTCTGAACTATCTATTGTTCAATTTGCATTCGATAATATATTATTGCGCCCGATTCTCCATTCTTGTAGTTAGTAAATAACGACAAAAATAGAGATGCTCGGCGCACGAGTACGCGCTATCAACTATCGCTGCTCAAGAAGCCAAACGGTATAACTTCCCAGTCACATTTTTTCCCATTCCAGAGTGAGGCCACCAAGGATCTCACGGATGATTTAAGCGGTCAGTAGAATCGTCGCCACGGAGCCGCCTTGTACTTTCTCAGTCTCGTTATTTTATTTAAACTCCATAACTACGTCTCGGATTGAGCCTTTTTCTTTATCCTTTTAGTTTAGTTATTTTCTTGTCATTTTCTTGGCTTATTTATCTCACCTTCATGCGCTACTCGCTCTCACAACTCATGTGGCTTCAGTTTTCCTACCGAGAGTTATTAGCGATGCGCAATTAATAAGCAGCGATTATGGCGACAATTCTTTTTTTCTTTCTCTCCAATTTGAAAATGACAATCTACAGTCAGTTGGCACTCGTTGAATCTATCTCTGATAAACGTCGCACTAAACAATGAAACTTGGCGGCGCCATAGAAGAAGCCTTTTCCTTTGGTAAACATATGTTGTATATTATAACATTCATAGCTCCTGGAATTTTGTATTAGGTTAATACCTTGATTTTGGTTTCGATACACCTATTATACTTGTTGAATGAACACAATATTATATGGCATGCATAATGCAAGCACATTTTAAAACATCAATTAGATATTTCTGATAATTAGATTAATTCCGTTAGATCCATAACTAATTTTACTTTGTTTCTGCCGACGACGAATGTGAACATCATACTCTCTGAAAACAGAATACACTTGTCAAGAATAACTTAAATCTCATGTAATGAAACAGTATATAAGTCAAGACAAAACAATACGCATTTGATTGAATCAGATTATAATAATTAAATGTTTATTAAATAAATCATTGCCACGGGTGAACGTAATAACCTTGACATTGACAAAACATAAATGTCAATAGGTTTAGGAATGGCGATAAAAATCGTGTTATATCACACCCGAACGCCGTGTTGGCAATTAGTAATAACAATAATAATCTTTATGCTAACGGCGCCAGTAAAGGTGTTATCTTCATCGCGGAGAACAGGGGTGCGACGCCAGTGCCATGAAATACCTTAAACAAATGCCGTTTACCAGCTAGTTGAAACACCCGTCGCTGATCCTTACTGGGGGATAAACATTTCAAAGAAACAAAAGGAATTGACAAACGTTTATTAACAATATGGTCCAACTTAAGACTTAGTAGAGGATCTTGTGCAAACGAGTTATCGTTTCCGAAAGAATTAGTCGAAACAAATGCTAATGACGAGACTTCGTGTCGCGCTTTTGTCTTATCTGCAGACAAAGCGGATAGATACGTCTAAGACTATTGTACGCATTTGGATATAGCAAACAAATCTTTGAACACCGTCTCTCGCGCAAATGCACCTTTGTACAATACGGAAAAAGTCGGAATACCAATATAACATATTTTGTCTGATCCCATCTGGATACGTCAGAACCGTTTGAATATCCTGCTCATAAGCGCCCCCGCACGGATGTACAAAACAAGTGTTTATGAGTAACCTTGGAATAACGAAGACAGTGCGTCTACCTTGCCTACAGATAATTTTGAATGAAGTATGTTTATAAATACGAATGACTGTAATACATTACATAATTGTCTAAGTATTTTGTAAGTCATTGAAACAATTCTTCAAAACAGTAATTAAAAACGCATAAATACATGTTAAACGAAGAATGCCTCAGATCACAGTTAATCGCCCACGCATTTATAACCATAAGTCTTTTTCATACTTCAGAACAACGCCAATGTTTCAGTCTATACTAAGTTAAGGTCCGTTCAGGTACGGCACATGAGTTAATTTGTAAACACTGCCAATCTCCAAGGCGTCAGAATCCACGGCATTCCAAAGTTACTAAATATATAATTGGAGAGATTGCAAAGACTTGTACACGACATAATAAGAATTATGCTGTGTTGCGGTCACACGGTACCTGCAATTAAGAATCTTGCTGCGTTTCTAATCCAGCTATGAAAGTTATCGTGTCACATAATAATAACTTGACAGAGTAAAGTTTTCTGCAAACTTTACAAAAGTTTTTGTAATGATAGGTTTCATAGACGCCTTCGATAATATTGTACTTTATTTGCACAATCGAACTCTTAAATCGCAATTAAAGTATTCTAAAATCAGTTGTTTCAGAATTTTAGTTCGGGGAAAACACGGAGAACATGGAATTCAACAGTCAACACATATTTGACCCGCATGTATGTCCAGTCAAGTATTAGCGATTTATTCTCAGATTCGGCTCCCCCATTTTCAATAATGGTAATATCTAATATCATCAAGTTCGCAAAGGACTTATCTCCATCGCATAATTCTTTTCCAAATTTGTGATGTTATTTGCAAACTCACTGTCTTTTATGCACTAGGTATATAAACGATAGAGAGAAAAATAAAATCTATTGGGGAATAAGCTGTAAATTAACGCTACCGGACACTCACCAAAGCTAAAATATTCAAAATGCAATATAGACGAGTAATCGCAGATGCATGTACGGACTCTGGAAACTGGCTAAACCTATGAAAAATGATAACAATATAAACTAATTTATTAATGGGGGTGGATATATGGTCATAATCGTGTGTAACCTCACTCGCTATTCTTTTTTATGATTTCATTTGAAAAGTTAATCAGTTTTGATACATAAAAATACTTTTAACACGTATAAACACTTAGGTAATTTACAAGAAGGAATTCAAAGAATCTCGACATTGTGACACCAAACGGTGAAGAATAAACAACTTTGAGATCAAATACACACAACAGGTCGAATTCATTGATTGTTACATGCATCAAGGTCTACGAAATACTGTTAAACAATAAAGAAACACACTTGCAATTACCTGTAATTTTAAATATTTACTGAAAGCAACTTGGAACGAATAAAAAAAATAGTCCTTATATGTACTGTGAAATAGTTGTGAATAAAAAAAAAGCGATCTGTACTCGCGGTACTTGTGCTTGTGTAATCAAGTGCAAACCTTCTATAAAATTAAATTTAAATCAAACATGATCCGATGATGGTGTGTGGCGTTCATCATCGGCCCACAATCGGATATATATAAAAATCATTTTTTGATTAGACGACCTGGTCTTCGATCTAATTTTCCAGCATGAAAATATTTATCGAGCAATCACTAAGTGCTGTGTTTAGGTGCCATTAGGGCGCAAGGTAAATAAAAACACTCGAAATGATTTAATTGCCAATATCAATTATTCATTTGGAGGTAGAATAAAGTCAATGTCGACCTGTAGGTAACAAGACTTATGTATTTAAAATCGGGCATACAGCAAACGATTGAGAGGCCAAACTGAAATAAAATTGAATGATTTAAAACATGCTTAGTCAAACTTAAAAATGTATTGTTGGAGAGTTTGAATCTTATTGAAATTATTCGAAAATCAACCAAAAAAAATATTAAGTCAGGCACGTTTTCTTGATTATATAGTTTGTCATCCAAGCAAAAGGATTCATATTTATAAGTAATACAACTATAAAGAGTTTTTTCTTGTAAAATGTATAACACTTTGCAAAAATGAAAATTGCCATCATTTCTTGAGATGTTGGTTGTTAATTATTATCTTAAAAATATACAACCTATTTAAAAAAAACAAACAATATACTTCTTCGAGATTCGTTTGCTTTTTTTATGCAAATAATACTTATCAGGGCAGAGTAATAAGCAAAAGGTGAATCAATTTTAAATCAACAACAGAGAGAAAGTACATGAAAAATTAAATTTGGCAGATACTTTAACTTTTTTTCTTTGTCACAAATACGTATTCAACCACTGTTGAATTTAGTAAATTTTTATTTTACTTGTTTTTGATTCTCATAAAATATTATCGAAACAATGAGGATATCCATATGACCCCATTCGACTATATATAAATAAAGTTTTTTAAGCTTAACGCCTTCCCATGTGACGTCACAATAAAATTTAGTCAACTTACCGGTGACGCATCCTTTTTTATTGTAGTCAAAGTCAAATCGGAAAATGGCATCATCGACTTTGTGATGTATACATGAACATGACAAAGTCGAAACCACGTTGAAACATTATTTTGGATCTAGCATGAAACACAGATATAAAAAACGTTTAAAATCTCAGTTAAACGTGTATCATACTTAAAAAAATACACTTGTTAAATCACGATAAAAGTGTTGGAGAGAGACATGGTGTCTGGGTTAAATAACCTCCAAGTGAAAAACTGTAATTATACACCGAGTAATCAAACTTTCAAGAGCAAAATGGTTTAAGAATCGTATCATCTAACACAAAATAGGAATTCTGTCCATTTCTCATGATTTTGATATCATACAACAGACGGCATATATCAGAGGCGGCAATCTCAAAAGAATTGTAATAACAAATTTTTATTGCTATTAAACTAATCCATATTATTAAATATTTCAATTACTCCACCATTCAGGTTGATTCTATTAATAT